TCAGCACTCATGCAGCTCCCACTCTGGGGTAAGCAAACTACGGCCTCACAATACTCCTTAACTAACAAGGCCATTCTAGGCTTCAATCTGAGTTATGGTATTTTTGAAGAATATTGGACAAGCAACTGGACTCTTGAGGGCGATCTCTCCATTACTGGAACAGTCGGCACTACCTCCAATGGAGTCATGTACATCTCCATGCCGTTCCTATTTGCCATATTCACCCGCTACTGGGCGCATCACCGGCTCAAAGCAGAGCTTGGAGGCCTTATAATAGCGTTCCTTGGGTTCATTCTCTCCTCCTTCAGTACCCATGTGTGGCATCTCATGGTGACACAAGGCGTCATGGCTGCCTTTGGGTGTACTCTTGTGTATAGTCCAGCAACATGTTCTCTTGGGGAGTGGTATGCCACTGGAAACCGCGCTATTGCCTATGGTATTATTCTCTCGTGTAGAAACATTGTTGGTTCGGTTTGCCCTTTTCTGCTGCGGTATCTTCTTGACCAATACGGCTTTCGTTGGACAATCCGGATATGGGCGTTTATTCTGGCTGGGTCAGGTCTTTTGTCCATCGTTCTCGTCCCGACTCATCCTTCCAAGATGGTGGCACGAGAGGGGAAGCCTCCTCGTATACCATGGACATTCCTGAAACACCGTGGCATTTACACGTACTTCGTTGCAGTCATGGTTCAAAGTTCTGGATACTGTCTACCGCAGACGTATCTCCCAACATTTGCAAGAGAGTTCAACGGCGCCAGTCAAGCTATTTCCACTCTATTGCTTACATTGCACAACATTCCAGGCATTCTCTCGTGCTTCTTCTTTGGTTGGCTTACTGACAACAAGTATCATCAATTCTCAGCCACTACCATCACTTGCCTCTCAGCCTTCGCATCATCAGCATCTGTCCTTTTGCTCTGGGGACTGTCAGTAGACGGGAGTCCTGCCCTTACACTTGTATTTGCTATCGTCTTTGGCTTCTTCGCTGGGGGTTACAGTGCAACCTGGGGGGGCATTACAAAGGAACTAGAGAGTGAAGCAGAGGAGCATGACGAGACTATCGATTCGAGTCTTACGTATGGGCTTCTCAATGGAGCTCGAGGTATTGGATTCGTCAGTGGTGGACTTGTGAGTATCCCATTGCTGAGTGCTGGCGACACAGGCTGGGGAGGAAGGTTTGGCTACGGGACCAAGTATGGCCCACTCATGGTATTCACTGGCATTGCAGTTGCTTTTGGTGGCCTGGGCTTGATCAGGGCTGCAAGGATAAGGCCAAGCAAGACTCCAACCTCAGGTTAAAACAATGATTGCAGCAGACGGAGGGATTTAAATGCTTGTTAGATATCTAGTTACTTGACTGACACACAGGGTGTCGCTGAACCACGCAGCCTTGACTATATAACTATAGGTATTCTGATCGTTGACAATCCAACCTAACTATTTCTTCTGCTCCTGAGACACGTGATTCCAACAAAGGAAGATATCTTCTATAGACCGTTAACAGAGTTACTGTGACCTATAAGGTTAACCTTTAGGCCGCCAACACAGATGATGAATGAGAACACGATATCCTTTTTCCCATTATCAGACTTTACCCAGAACCTGTCACAATGAGCATGGCAAGGACTCTTGTGCATTCACACTTTCTCGCGAACAACCTCTTTGAGTTTGATAGGCAATCCGCCCTTCTCCCATAGGAAGAAGATCTTTTGATCGTACCAGTCTTTTTCGGTTGGTACAGCCTCGAGGTCAAACTTCCATAGCATGCGAGCCAACAAGAGTCTCATCTCGGTATACGCCAGACTGTTTCCCACTGTCAGCCATGTCTTGTGCTAGTAACGGGAACACTTACTTCTTGCCAATGCAATCACGAGGCCCTAGAGAGAATGGCGACAAGATAGCCCGGTTGTCGCTCGCATATCGAGGATCATCCAGCCAGCGTTCTGGGACAAACTTTTTGGGGTCTCTAAAGTTTAGCTCAGAGTAATATGCAGGCCAGTGAGGCATCGAAACCGCAGTCTGTATGTAAAAGTCAGCGTTTGATGAAAGCGACTTGTAGTGGTAAGTTCGACTTACATTCTCAGGAATCCAATAACCGTCGATAAACTCGCCACCGGCTGGTGAAAATCTCGACAGTCCAACAGCAACTGGTGGGTCTAAAAGAACGATCAGTATACAACACAGTGGATATAGCCTGAGGATAGGGGCCTTACACATGCGAAAGCCTTCGTTGAAGACAGCCAGCATATACTTCAGTTGGTCAACCTGGGTCACAGTGATCTCTTCCTCTGAGCTAAAGGCAGAGCGTATCTCATTTGTCAACTTCTCCAGCTTGTCTGGGTTTTTGAGAAGGAAATAGGTGGTTCCACTAAGGAGAGTAGCTGTTGTCTCGCTACCAGCGATGATCATGACACCCGAGTTCTCGATGATCTCAAGCTGCGACATACCCTTCTCATCATTGTGACGAAGAACATAGGACATAAAGTCTTGGCTTTCAGTATCCTTGGACTCAATTCGGGCCAGTGCCGCGTGCTCTGCGAACTGCATATGCTCTTCATAGCTCTTCCTCAAGCTTGGTGGACTCAACAACGAGATCCAGTTCTGGAGTCCGAGGCGCACGTAAATCTGAGTATAAGAAAGAACCTTGAGGCCCTTGAAGACTCTGCTGACCCAAGGATGATATTTTCCGTTCTCAAGACATCCGAAGGGCTGGCCAAGAGCAAGGTGACCAATGAGATCGAACGAGGCAAAGTTGTACCAAGCTACAATGTCGATTTCCTCTCCCCGCTGCGCCCGCTCTGTGAGACCTTTCATGAACAGCTCGACGTAGTGGTCTACAACATCACCTTGACCACGAAGTGCCTTTGATGAAAAGGCATGTGCGAGCAGGCGGCGCATACGTCTGTGGTCTTCCTGATCGGAACGAACGATGCTTGAGCAAGGACGGTTCTGACGATACATACGAAAGTCTTTCTCAAAGGATTTGTTCCCAGCCGCTTTGTGACCGTAGATCTTCTTAGAAGCCTCCGCAGTGATGAAGGAGACGTCCTTGGGTGTGAATCTGACAGCTGGTCCATATTGTTCGTGCAGTTTTGCGAGGTGGAAGACCCAGTCACCTTTGCTGAGATAGTAAAGATATGGAATCTGAGTTATGGCATAGAGCTTCGGTCCGGGGACTTTGGCAAGCGGGTGAAAGAAAGCGTAGTACAGAGAACTGACAACGAGGTAAAGAAGCTTTACAATACTATTAGAAATATGAAGAGAGCTCTGTGATGCTTGAACTTGCCACAGATATACCTAAAAGAGCAGACACATAGCCGAGGCTTAGTCCAGCCAGTGCTTCTGTATGTAGAACACCCATGCTGGCGCGGTGGTAGAAGGGTAGTGCAGAATAGATGAGGTGGCTAACTTGATAGTTGAGATCTGGTGTTTAGCTTGGTAGATTCTGATTTTAGTAGGCAGAATTGTTCTAATATTTATAACCCCTCATTCCAAGAGAGCAGAGGCAACATTAAACAACTCATCGTACAAGCCTGTTTGATGCACGTCGATCATTCATCTTTTTCGCATACATCCGCATCGGGATACGACCTCGGGATCAACCGCAATTCTCTCCGTAACCAATCAAAGTGAACGTCATGTGAGTAGCCATCACTATCGCCGTGTTAACGCCAGCTGAGTGCCGAGTTGAAATGAAGAGGTATCCACTGATCCGCATTCCACCGCCTTCGTGTTCAACATGATGTTATTTTAATGTCCGCGGGGTTTGCAAAAGTGCTAGCTAAAGGCGAAATTCGGGATTTCGGGGTTATTTCATGTTTCTTTTACTTGCAAATGCTCTACGCTCAGGCTTTGATGATGATGACCATCTGTTTTGGGCTGAGGTGAAGCAGAGTATCATCTGCCGAAGCAGGATTCAGATCCCAGCAAAACAATCATCTATGAATGGATGACATGTTCAATAGTAAGCACTATATCAAAAGTACCGATTGGCCTGATAAGCCTTATCTAACGACTCGACTCCTCGAAGTATACATACCGTGGTCGGAGATGCATAGAAGCGACACGTTATTCCATGTGCAACTATGGCTTATGTTACACACGGCAATATTTCCATGGCTTGCGAACCGTACATCATCTGACGGGCCTAACAACTCTATCGTCATTTAACCCGATCACTGTAACATCGCTTAAATGTTAACGTTCCATGCCGCAGTATCCGAAAGAGGTGGCAAGCCTGACTCCATATGCGGGGTACAAAATATGCCAATATCAAATCAAGAAAAGCCAGTATAATGTCCTCAAGGGCCTTAGCCGCAGCAGCAAATTATCGAGGTGAAGACATTTCTTACTTGCAGCTAGTTCATAAGAGATCTGTGCAGACGTGCCCAGAGACAACTGCGGTGAGATGCTCGGGAACTTTCTCTAGCGGGTATGTTAAAATGCCGTCCCGTCACGGCCAGTTAATAAAAAGCAAGGATGATATCAATTATGACGTTGACTCCACAAAGAGTCGCAACACTTGGAAAGCTGATACCCATTCTTGAGACAACAACCGCAGTTAAAATCCCGAGACATATTGTACCACCAGAAATTATCATGCAGACTTAAGTATTAGAAGAGTATTGAGGTATGACCACGTCACAAAGGGCCTGAGACCCCGCAATGATCGCCTCTGTGGCGGTTGTACCCGTGCTCAGCAGCCGAGGAAGCCGGACTTGGACATGGCTCCGATGAGCCCAGTCCGCTATATAGGATTTCCCACCGAGCTAATCACTCGCCTTGAAAAAGGTCCATTGAAATACAAAGCGTAATATTGATAATCGAAATATACATTTTGTATTTCTTTCTAATAAAAGGCACTGAGTTAATACTTAATTGTCTTGTATTTACTCCGCGCTCGGATTTGTGGGCCATATTTAAATAACACCCAGGGAATAGGGATCAGGGCTATAGTCACAAAGCCAAACAAGCTAGTAGCCCATCCGATACCTAAAGCTTTATACACTGTTGCAAAATATCAGCATACAGCCACGAACAGCGGCGATGAAATAAAATGCTAGGGAAACTTCATGCTCAGTAGACTTACTCTGAAGGACAAAAAGGGGAAACGCCCCGCCAACAGGATACCGAGCCAACGTAAGCGAGGCAGAAGCACTCGCTACAACATTTCCATGGTATGTGTCCGCCGCGAATTGTGCCGTTGACACAAAGACGCATAAGTTACCCCATGCGAATGGAATTATGGCAACAACTGGCGCCGCCCATGAGATGTCTGACCTGGACGACCAGGCAAACCAGAATAGTCCCAACGGCAGCCCAAAGCTGCCTACCATAGCAGGATATAATCGGTATTCTGGAGGAATCTTGCCAGCATACTTGGTGGCCTGTGGACGATAGAATATGATGTCGCAAAAGGAAATGGTGATCATACCCAAAAGACAGCCGATAACGACGCTTAGAAACACGAGACCTGACTGTTCTATACCAAAATGGTAGACCGTCTCTACAGTGTACGGGACGGCGGCGAAGAAGCTAAAGAGAATGCCAAAGTTCACCGAGATGTAGAGACAGATGAAGATGATAATGGGCTCAGTAAAGAGCATATGAACCGGTCGGATCAGGGCGACCTGGGCGAAAAGGCGAACATGCGTCCAGACCGGGGTTTTTGAGGGTACTTGTTGCCCACGTCGCTTTGCCTTGCGGTACTTCAGAATTGGTGGGAAGCTCTCTTTAGTAAGTACGATGAGGATAAGACAGGCAATGGAAAAGAACAACAAGACCCACTGAGTCCATCGCCAACCCTGCCGACTGACGGCAAAGGCACCCAAGACCGGCCTGTGTGGTGTCAGTTCGAAGACTAATAAAAGCGAAATGAGGCAGTTATGGGAAGGGTTACCCTAGTCCAGGGCCAAGGAACGGCATCAGTATAAAGACTGCCATCATAGGACCCCTCGTCTGAGGCAGTGGAAAGGTCTCAGATATGGACCCGACCGCTACAATCAGCATGGGTGACCAAGCAAACCCTGCCATGAAGCGCAGGAAACACAACGCCCCAAAATTATGCGTCAAGCCGGCCCCAAGGGTGAAAAGCATCCCCAAGGGGAAACCTATGTAGTAGACCGGCATCCGACCAACTGTTTCTGACAGAGGTCCGCCTACTATGGGGCCGAACGCCAGGGCGAAAACATAAAGGGAGAGCGGTAACAAGGAGGCTGTTTCGCTAACGTTGAAGTCGTTTTGGATGGCTGGTTGAGCTGGGGCAATGATGGATGAACCCAAGGCTCTGTGATGTCCGTAGTCAGTTCATCATTTGCTTCGGTTTGTTTTGACTGTGTACGTACGCCACGAAGGCTGTCAGAGAAACCATAGCCATCATGATGGCTTTGTCCCTGTTTGGCCAATTGGCCGAGTTTTGAGCATCCTCCGCCCATCCGTCATCGTCTCGAGTTTTGGTACCATCACGCGCTTCTTCGTCGCCAGTGATGGGCGTCATGGACAGCCTTTCCGTTGTGTTGGGTTCCTCTATAGCGTTGCTCATCTTACCCGATAAAATCTTGGTTGTGCTCTTATGTATGTCGATGGGTAGGTTGCCGCCATTCGATAAATGGCCCTTGTCTTTCTTTCTGATCTGGGAGCGCGATATCGGACTATCAACTTCTCATGCTTCAGGGAGGGGACAGGTTTTGTTGCCTATAGGTATATTGTGTTTCGTTTGGTCGATGTGGTTAACAGCGAAAGGTGAAAGGAGCCGAAGCATCTTAGGATGATAGATGTTCTTGTGAGCGAGACAAAGGATCTCGGCACAAACAAAGGGGGGTGGAAGATCGTCGTCGTGTTCTTGCCGTATAACCGGGCCTAGCTATGGTGACCACCGAAATGGAAAAAGGGTAGCGGATAAGTGTTACCCCCCAGCATGGCTAGCTTAGTGACTGCGATATAAAAAAGGGCAAGTACTAACCTAATAGGTTGTTTTAGTGTCTAACCATGGTTTACATCCCGTAGGACTTTGGATCTTAACTGCTGATCCCTGCTAACAATAAACTAGGGCTGACAATTGCAGCCAAGGTTGGATCTTTGCTTCCTAAAAGCGGAAACCCGTGAATGCGGCCATGATATCTCTGCTTCCGTCCAAGGCGCACTAAACTATATGAATCTGGCAAACAAATGGCGGCGATCTCCCTCGTAGCTGACGTTGCGCAGATTATGAATTTATTGGTAATCCTTTCTCTATCATTCCCACTAGGCGTCATAGTGGTGGGACTGAACAGCAACGGCGCGTATTATAGCGCGCAACATGCATAATCTGTGACTTCAACGGGATAACAACTATGCTATGACGACAAAGGGGAAATGTAAATTCCAACACCATGTACAAGAACTTAAAAGCCGAAGCCGAAGCCGTTGAAACCAAACTGTTGGTATTGCCCTCATCATCCCGAAAGCCATGTCACAGCCACAACCGCCCAAGCGGCGGAAAACCGACAAGATGCCGTACATTAGCCAACGCTCACAGCATCGGCGGATCCTCTTTTACGGCCTTGTCCCTCTACTTGTCCATCAGATCGCCATTATTACCCTCAATTGCGGCGTCACGTCTCCCCGTCTGCTAAGCGCTACGGGTATCTTTGCTAATTACGCACTATTCTTCTTCTTGGCTGTGCGGCAGGACGGCCTTGCCATCAAGTCTGTTGCTCGTCAAGTTGGATATCTTGACGGAGATGTGCACCCGCGAGACCGCATCCCCCGTGGATCCAAAACGAAGGTGTTTTTGTCGTTGCCTGCATTGATTAGTCTTCGGACAGCAATGACACTCGTTGTGGCTTACAATCCATCGTCACAGCCAATCGGCAGTCTTAGTCGCCCAGGTTGGTGGGTTTGGTTGTTCTTCAACATCAGTATCTACTGCATTATTTTGGATTTTTGGTATTACTGCGCTCACCGAGCTTGTCACGAGATTCACTCCTTATGGAAGTTTCACAGCTTACACCATACCACAAAGCATCCTATAATGCGTCTCGCATCTTATGCAGACCTTGAGCAAGGGATTTTTGATATATGCGTGGCGCCATTACTCGCGTATCTTACAATGCGCGTGGCGAATATACCTCTTGACTTCTACTCGTGGTGGATCTGCCTACAATATGCGGCACACTCAGAAACTGCTGGTCACAGTGGGATGCGCGCATACTTGACGGCACCCCTGACATTCTCGGGGGCCCTGCAGTCATTAGGCGTGGAGATTGTCATTGAAGATCACGATCTTCATCATAGGAAGGGATACAGGAAGACATGCAACTACGGAAAGCAGTCACGGCTCTGGGATCTTGTATTTGGTACCCGAGGTGAGCGGCTTGAGACAATTCCGGCTAATTTAGATTGGAATTGGGGGATAGATCTGCCGCTCTTTGGGGCTTATCAAGGGCAAGATGGAAAAACATGAAGCGGTGCCGGGTTGCCTGCTCTATGTAATTGGCCAAGTGTAACTTGACCTTCTGTAGGACCAGTTTCTCACGTAGAACCATGTAAATCTGGACAGTATTTCCAACTCTCAATAAACGATCTTTAATAAAAGACGCATGTAAATGGCCATTCGGAGCTTCAGCCCCTTGACCAAGTCTAGGTAAACGTGTGAGCTGCAGGATTCTTGGTTGTGCTTGATCCTTGGCAGCTGTGGATTGTCTAATGAGGCCAAAGCTGGAGATGGGGCTGTCCGCTGTCCGCTGTCATTCCCCTCTATAGTAGGTAATGATTGGTGAATTTACGGTATTCCTTTGCGAGATTGAGTCATTGAGAAAACAAGGCGAGCCCACTTAAGTCGCCTGGCTGGAGGATTCACATAACACTAACGGTAAACCGGAAGGAATGAGATGCGCTAGTGCCTGGTAGACTGGTTTAATCTCTTGGAATTGATCATCAAGCTAGTGTTTTCTCGTATCTCATCATGCCGGTTAACCGCGTCTGACAAGGGCTAGGGTCGGCCGACAACAGACCCCTCTTGCTGTTTTGTAATGCCTTAATTGGACATGACATGTGGTTGCTTCCCTCTCGTTATAGAAAGGGGATTTCGTTTTGTTCCTACTCCGTACTTTTTATTTACAAACCCAATCCTCTTTTATACTTCGATCCGTCTATTACTCTTACACAAAGCCACAGGCCGACCCGGAGCCTCCATAACAATCGAATACATAACCTCTATTTATCGATATGACCAATTTGCGTGTAATGCCTGGTGCACAGGCCCAGGTGGATCACTTCATGAGCATTCCCTGGTGTCGTCAAGAGATGGATCAACAAAACCTTATTGCATTACCGCGCATAGATAAAGAAACAGACGGAGCCACCGGTGATCTTTTCCGCAAGACGCTCAACTCTTCGTCAACCATATCCCGAAGCATCGTCATTCTGCCAAATCCTTCTACACTCAAGCCTCCAGCCACAAGTGCAACAAAGCCTTGGCTCCCGCTCTCCACCTGCTCGGTATTTTACACCTTAGACAAAGGACTTTGCGGCTTTAGCAACTTATGCCACGGCGGCATCCAGGCAACTCTAATCGACGATTGCGCAGGGGCTCTCGGAGTCCTTAATTCTCGCATACAGGCAGGTTTGATACCAGCTGATCCACCGGGCCGATGGTCACCAAAGATAAACCCTGGGATGGTAGATCTCACAAAGTGTATGCTGGCGACCAAGGAAATGACAGTGCAGTATCTGCGCCCTCTAAGAGTTCCTGCCAACGTGCAGGTAATAGTGACCATAGGGGAAATCTCAGATAATGGGAGCTATTTTGTTTCAACTTCTATCAAGGGCAAGGATGGTAAGGAATATACTAGAGCAAGGGCGGAATGGATGGTACTAGGTCTTAAAAGTAAGCTCTAAGTTTATAAATATAGTTATTATCTGAAAACAGAAGAGGGATTTGTAATAGCCCACGGCAGCAATTTGTAGATAGGATTAACAAACGAGAGCAGCTCATTCAGCACAGTAAGGCTATCTTCACCATCCCTCATGCATCATTCGCCCCTTTCTCAATGTGACTTGCACCAAGATTCTTGCGCTCACGAAGGCTAATCTCGTCAAATGCCCGGTATCTCTCCTCGCGCTTTTTAGTAATGGCTTGCGTACCAGTCAAAAGCTCATCACCGTCAAAGATCTGGCCAATCTCCTCAAGACCTTTACCCTTCGTCTCAGGCAGGTACCACCAAGCAAAAACAGTTTCAACGCCGAGAACAGCACACGCAAAGATGTAGTAACGCCAGCCGATGCGGTCCAAGGCGACGGGGTTGACGTAGCCTGTGAAGAAACTAGCCGAGTAGCCACAGAACTGGAAGATCATAGCTGTCTTTGAGCGCAACGAGTAGAGAGAACACTCAACGACGTAGGGAACGGTCGAGATGGCAAAGGGTTGGTAGCCGACCTGGAACAGAAAGATCATGGCAACGACGGCGAGCGCCAGAGGTCGATCGGAAAAGTGGCGTTCCTCGTTGAGGGCAGAACAGATGGTCCATACTATGAAGACAACCAACATGGTAGTAATCCCGAATGTGATCAGACCGCGTCGGCCGACTCGATCAATAAGCATAGCAAAGAAAACAGAGCAACACAGCTGCCAAACAGCAGCGATTGCATTAATAAGAAGTTGCGTGTTGGCATTAGTCACGCCAATGCTGTTCAAGATCTTGGTCAGGTAATAGCCGGTCAGTCCCAGGCCCGACAACTGAGCAGCAAAACCCATGAAGAGTAAGATCCAGAGGCGCTTGCGGTTGCCACTGGTCCGGATAAACTCGGACCACTGGATCGCCTTGTGCTTCTTTTCTTCTTCTAGGGTGGCTTCGATCTCGAGTAACTCGAAGCGCACTAAGCGAGAGTCGTGGTCGCCGCACGAGTGATACTGAGAGAGCACACTCAAAGCTTCATCTCGCCGATCCTTGTACACGAGCCAGCGTGGAGACTCAGGGACCCAAAAGCTAAGAACCAGTTGCAGGATGGCTGGAACGCCCTGCAACAGACTGGGTAGTCTCCAGCTCCAGGAAGAGTTCATCTTGAACGTGCCAAATGTTGTCCAAGCAGCAACGAGATAGCCCTGGTGGGTATAACATATCAGTATTATTGCTAGAGGCTCAGGACTATCAGTGCCAAAAAGGACTTTGACCACTTACGACAACCCATTGTGTCATGTATAGAGACACCATTTTCCCGCGATGAGTCGGGTAGGCGACTTCTGTCATCAACTGAGGAGCAGCCACAGCGACGATGCCAGTTCCCAGTCCAATGATGATTCGGCCGGCAATAAACATGCCCAGGCTCTGGGCACCGCCCTGAAGGGCAGAACCGACGATGATCAAGAAAGTGCCTAGCGTAATCGGTTTTTTCCGCCCGAAAATCTCGCACAGCTGAGAGGAAAATAGGGCCGATACAAGAACACCAATATTAATCGCATTAACAAGAGTTCCGAGGTTAGCACCTGTCTATCATCTCACATGTTAGTGTCTCAGACTAGACAATTGGGTCACCAGAGAGAAACATACTGGGTCGCCAAATGCTTCCCGCCAGAGAGGCAAAGACTGCATGCCGTTCAGCATGCTGCCGTCGAATCCGCAGGTAAATTGGGCCAGAAAGGCACTGAGCAGAAGCAAATTCAGCTTGCGTAGGTTGGGGTACTGAAACCACCACTTGTCCAGTTTGGGGATGACATCGGCGAGGACAAGGCCTTCGAATTCTTCCACATCAGCCATTTCCCTCTTGGCGTCGTTCGGATCGTTCATGTTTATGAAATCGAACAGGGGCTATCGGCAGGATCGAACAAGTGGAAGCCTGGAACTTGTAAGAAGCGACAACTGTCAAATCTGTTACTGAGGCATAGCTGCTTGTATGCAGGTGCAGATCGCCAATATATAGAACGCAGGCAATTACAGATAATTCCAGCCCTGGCGAATTTCGGATTCAGCTCCGCCCTTGACTCTTTCAGAATGCGGGGAAAACCTGGGGGGCGTTGGGTCTCGCACTAGTGGCATGACATCGGAGAAAGCGTCGGAGCAGCTCCTACAAGCGATCAATTCTTGCCGATTCATGGGCCTCATTTGCTACTGAGTTAGTCGAAGCTTCTATCAGGTCATAATTGGAAACGATTGGGCATGTCGTCTCATGGCTTCAAGCCCTGAGCGTGCCGCCACAGCTATTAGAATCTTTTCCGAAGCCAGCAGCACATAACGCTTGCCCATGGAGCTCGAAACGTAATTCGAGTAACGTCTGTTGATATTGGCCAGACAGGCAATAACGCCTCTCGTAGAGTGCTGGGGAGCTTTGAGCATAGGACAAAATACAGAAGACTGCAAACGAAATGAGCGTGAAAAGCCAAAACCATTATGCCAAATATGTCATACTGTCAACTGAAGTGTGCCAGAACTTTGTTTACTCTCGGCATCCGGCCTAAGTTTCGGTATTCATGGTGAATGGGTGGGCATCCTTTGATTCATTGACCTTACCGTAGCATGTGTGAAGTATACCTTCTAAAATAGCGTGCATGTGTTGATTGAGAGGACATACGCTGGTCCCTCTTGAAGCAGTGCATCTTGCTCATTCCTTAGAGTCAGATTCAGTATTTCAGCATGCATGATATATGTTTCCAGACGGCATATGAATATATTCTAAATATATTGCCTAAGTAGCTTGGAATTACTGAGTAGATTATAAAGACATGGTAGATAGACTGCGCGCGCGAATGGATTTCATTGTTTGCCACTATCTAGAATAGACAATGGGATCCAGCGAGGGGTCGTGACGCCAAAGCACCGTGTTTACACTGCCATGTTCATTGACACCAAACTCTACCTTCCAGAATGACGGATCATTATCATTTCCTAATACCCATCTACCACGGCGCGACAAATCGTTCCGTGGTTGCAACCACGTAAAAGTATCGCCATCGTAATGCGTCAGCGTGTACCTTTCCGAGTCCATTCCCTGGAAAGCCCAAAAGAGCACTCTCTCTTTCAAAGTGACCACGACGCTGAACACACGGCTCTGGTCGATGTATTCTCCCACGTATTTGTCCAATGGTTTGTGAGGGTTGATGGTCTCCGGTTGGCCCTCCACCAGACCTAGAGCAATTCGGTCATACCATCCCAAGTTGATAGCGATAGACGTCTTCGCGTGCGAAATAAAATCGGTGCGATCCTTGATCGGAACGCCAATGATTTCCTCAAGCACCATTTGTGACACCCAGTCAGGCACATCAGTAAGTGAGAGGCTGTTGCCCATGACCAACACCACGCTCTCCGTACGGGGAATCAGTACAACAACCGCAAGAGCGCCTGGGAGCGTGCCTTGATGGTATAATATCAGCTCTTCCTCTCCTCCTTTTCCGATGATCGGCATTCCCTTCGGCATCAGCCGGCCGTTCAGGCCAATATGTCCCAAGGTGCTGGGCAGCTGCACACGAGCCCATCCCAGTCCGTAAGACACTTCTTCCCTTCCAGTCGAGAGCATTGGCACGTGAGGAGACATGATCTTCGACACCTGCTTCAGAGGGGAGCCTGGTGTAGATGTTTGACCTGACTGACGCTCATGGTTGAAACTCTGTACGAAGCAGGTGTAGAGCTTAATCAAGTCCGCAGCGCAAGACCGGAGTCCACCCGAACCGCAGCCGATACCATCCTCACCAAGCTTGGGTCCTGGTATGCACCATGGTGTACCATCATCCAAGGCGTTGTAAGACTTTGTCACGTTATCTGTGTCGCTGGGTTGGGGTTTCATAAAGGACCTTCGCAAGCCGAGCGCAGTGAAGACCTGCTGCTGGAGGAAGTCGTCCAGAGAATTACCGCTGAGGCTTCTGAAGCTCTCATCACAGGCATCATAAGCAGTGCTATTGTACGCAAATGAGCCGAGGTGCGCGGGGACCAGTGTCTGCTGGTTGACGACCCGCATGCAGTCATCTTTGCCGATCAAGATGTTGCCCTCACAACCACCAACCAGGTTTCCGCATGATGACATACCACTGCTGTGGCTGTAAATATCTGCTAGTGTTGTGTTATTATACAAATAAGTGTCGTTGGGATGGAAAGAGGGTGTTGCGTCTTTGACAAGCATCTCCCACGACGCAATGCCTTGGTCGACCAATATGCCCATGGCCGCGGCTGACAGGCCTTTAGCGAGTGAACATACTGGGAATATTGTCTCTTCTGTAACAGGAAGTCTTTTCTGGAGGTCTCGGAAGCCGTAGTTTGCATGATAGACAGGCTGGTTCTTGGTTGCGACCGAGAGACTCAAGCCTGGCGTGCCACCAAGCTTCATCAACTCTTGAATGGCAGGGCCAAAGGCATCAAGCCTACGGGATAAGTCGTCCATGGCACTTCGGTGTTGAAAGTAGCTTCAATGCAACGAATCTCGATCTGGAAACTGGTATGCCCTTTAAACTCTTATCATGAGTCTATACTCTATAGTACCTTTATGGAGGTGGACTTCGGGGTGAGTCCGACAGCTTGGCCGACGGGGGTTGGTTGCAAAAGCCCGCACGCGGATAGTAGACCCCGCTTTTTGTCTATAGCCTTATCATCCTTATCATTTTCTAGAAAATAAAGAAGTCGATGTGGCCAGTAGATTTGTCCAACTTTGTTTTCACGCCAAGTGGTTCCCAGCTGGGGACGGGCCTCTGGTCTAAGCAGGTCAGATCGAAAAAGACGATCAGCCTATCTATGACTATGTATTAGATAATCTACACGACGCGGGACATGCTTCAATAGCATACAGCCAGGATTTTCCAAGACGATATCTTAGAGCACATCATTCACCACGAAGACAACTCTGCTGGTTCTTTCAGGGCAAGCTCATATTCATAACTTCACATCAGTCTCCAATATACGAGCGACTCAGCATACTAA